GGTCTGCACTGTCTAGGATTATTGCATTTCGATGGGCTTAGCTTATCATTTTTTCCATCTTTGGAAGCCATTGCTGTAAAAGAATTGGAGCTTCTTTATTCTAATTTACGCTCCCCTCCCCCGTAATAATAAAAAGGAAAAATACCGCTATACCTGAATAGGAACCGCGAATCAGCCTGTACTTGTCATTCTCACTCTTGACGTCAAACGTGTTATACTCGGCATAAGTTGTGTTACCTTCAAAGTCTTCCAAATCCACACGCAGCATGTTGCTATCATTTGAGGTCAGGCGGTGAATCTTGTCCAGTCCCATCCAAAATTCACTTGTGAGGTTATCAAAGCCACATTTGTAGTCGTTCCAGTAGCGGTAGAAATCAACCGAGCCGTCCAGTCTCTTCTGGAACACAGTCCATCCTCCATCCTCCGCTGTTTGGTCACAGAATACATCAAAGGCAGGCAAATTATCAGGTTTAATGGTGTACACGCCGTCAGTAGGTTTATCCGCGGATTCGTAGATTTCTGCGCAGTTTCTCTTGACTGAATATTATTAAAAACAAAAAGCAACACAAAACTCTCACTTTAATTTGTTTGGATGTTGACGCTTTTCGTTAGCTCTCCTGACTATTTATTCTGAACATTAGTAGTAAACTAGTACCATTTCCTTTTTCCTTAATATCTACCAGCTACATTCATTTAAAGTTTCATTAATAGGCTTTTCCTTTTTAGCTTTACTTCAGTGGTTAATATTTTGTTCTGGAAGTTAAGTTTGGGAATTTAGTTAATAACTCCTCGCATACTACACGAGAGTAGTATCCCTGTGTCATCCCTTGCACAAAGAAAATGACTTAGTATGAATTTCTTCATATTAAATATTCATTCTCGAATGTGAGTTAACAGCTGCAAAAGGCGCAAAAAGAGGAAGATATAATAGACCGGTGTAACGCAATTTGTCTGCATTGGTGTATTTTTTAAATTCTCACTCTACCTTATAAATTTCATTCTGATAAGCTATAATATTTTCAAAAGTACCAGAGAAGAACTAAATATAGCACATCACACTTATCATAAGTGACAGGAGTTTATCAATATGTTTATTTTCAACCTGTTTAACTTTGAACTTGCGGCAATTACGTTAAGAGCAATCTGAAATACAAACATTTAACAATTTATCCTTTTTTATCGCAAAACATTCTCCAGTACGATAGAACGGCATTGCACATTATTGACATGAAGATTTACTTTGTAGCAACTTTAAGTACAGAGGCCTAAGTTTTTTCTAAGCTCAGCGGTACAGCATCGGGAAACGGAATCCGAAGGTCTGAGGTTCGATTCCTCCTTCTGATAGTTTCTAAACAAACCCAAACACCAGAGCCTGCTCTCCAGACGGCGGTAAGAGGTCTGATATGAGGAGAGACACCGCCGGTAACCAGCTTTCATTGAAACCTCTGTCCATGGTTAGCTGTAATCATCCCCTCTTCACATAATCATGCTAACATTGTGCTCATTTTCTCTCTAATACTCATTTGTCACTACTCCGACTCCGACTCTAAAATCGTTCCTAAACTAATCCGTGCTGATTATTAACCCTTTGACCCTTAAGAATGACTAACATCTAATTTCTCCTCACATTATTGACCCTGAATCAAACATTAAGGTCATTTAAGGTTAATTTAGTTTTATCTTCCAGATTTCGAGAATTTTTGTCAGATTCTTCTTCAAAGTCCGTTCGCGTGGGGAAGCGCTGGAATGCTATTTAAATCAAGAATAACAGAAGAGGATTTGACAATCATGACAAAACTCGCTCAAGGACACTTCGAGAAAGTGATAATCATTCTTAAACAGCTTCCACGGAGCATGCTGCTTGTGTTCAGGTGTGGATAGTGTTATTTCACTTCGAAATAACTTATTCTTGCCGCAGATTTTTTTGCACGTTTTCCTGACAATGGCACCATTCTTTAGCAAAGCCAAGTTCACTTATTTTTAATTTCTTTTGTTGACTATTTGATGTATTTTTACTGTAGCAAACTGTCATAATTTGTAGATTTCCTTAAATTTAACAACCCGAAAAGCAAATCCTAAAATTGTCGCACAGCTTTATTAGTCGTGGACGTTGGATAGGGAAAAATATCGGAGCCCTTGATTAGGATCCAACCCCCCCTCCTCCCTTACCCCCTCTCCTTCCTAACCCCCCCCCTCCTCCCTTACCCCCCCCCTCCTCTCTTACCCCCCTTCCTCGTGCGTGCACCTAAAGATATGGACGAACTCACGTCTAAATTAAAAACCTTACACGAGCTGGACGCCATAGCCGCAGAACGAGCCAAAAGAAAGGTCTCGGTTTCTTGATTTCGTTCCCCATTGCATTCAAATTGTGAAAAATCGAAACTTTTTATGTATCAAAGATTTTAATCGTTTGTAACTAAACAAAGCTGTTAGGATTCCTCTTGTAGCCTGCAAACCAATGAACACTACGCCACTTTCGATATATCAAAATTCTAACATGGCTCCTCGGTTAGTGGGAATAAAACAAAAGAAATTTCACCTACTCATCCTTACATTTGGTATTTCTACAAACTCAGTTTGTAACATAATCACCTGATGAGCCATATCTACGAAATGGACCTTGGGCTTGACAATGTGTTTTAATGGTTTAAAGTGTAATATGTTCATCAATAACAGTGCAAGGTATTTACTTTAACAAAAGCTAAGAAAATACAAATAAAACCAATATATGAAGCATTTTAGAATCATCAACATTACGTTACATTGTACACTAAAACTTGAAA